TTTCTCTTGATTTTTCTCCACTGCGACCAGTTAGCGGGTGCTCTCAACTTCCCGTCTTTCTTACGGTCATCTCCGTGCCATCGCATCGACTTGGCAAGCTCTTTGTTTCTGAACAGGCATTTCAACCGTGGTATTATAGGAGCATACCACATCATCTTGGCAGGAACCCTCTTCCGGGGGCGCTCGCCGTCAACATCACCAGGGTCATCTCGTCGTACGCACCACAGTACAGGATGCAGTCATTATGGCATGCATGTATCTTCTGCACCTCCAATCCTAGAGGGCAAACAAGCTTCTTTGTTGCATACGTTGATACGTACTGTCGGGCAATTCGTTATCCTTTGCAAGCTTCTTCTTCAATATTTTCAGTAGCTTCTCAAATCCTTTGTTAGGCACAACATTCTCTGCCTTCCACTGCAGCAATTCCATTACGGTACCGAGCTTTGTGTTGTCATCTTCGTAATTGGGGTACAAACTTTTTTGTGATCCTCTAGCATGCTATCGAACTTCACATTCTCCTTTTGACTTTCACACTGACTCCTTGCGTCAACAATGATCCGGCAGAGATCATCATCGGGCACATTGTCTGGTTCCTCTTGATCTTCAACAGCTTCCCCCGTTGCAGCATCACCGTATTCGGGGGGCACCTAGTTCTCATCGTCCTCTTCTTCTTCGATGTCTTCCATCATAACCCCTACTTCTCCGTGCTTGGTCCAAACATTATAGTGTGGCATGAAACCCTTATAAAGCGAGTGGGTGTGAATGATTTTCGAGTCAGTGTAAGACTTCGTATTTCCACATATAGGGCATGGACAACACATAAAAACATTCTTCTTGTTTGCCTCAGCCACTTCGAGAAAATCATGCACGCCCTTAATGTACTCGGAGGTGTGTTTGTCACCATACATCCATTTCCGGTTCATCTGCGTGCATTATATATAATTAAGTGTGTCAAAAACCATTACAGAACATCATGAATAGATAATTATGTGACCAAATTAATAGAAGTTCATCATCACATTAAAAACCAAAGTACATACATAGTTCTTATCTAACAACATATAGCTCTCCAGATCATCTAATTAATTAAACCATACATCGAAACTATGTAAAACATTTCAATGCCAAAACAAATGCGATCATAATAACAACCAAGGTAACAATTGATCCAACGGCATAATGATACCAAGCCTCGGTATGAATGGCATATTTTCTAATCTTGCTAATCTTCAAGCGCATTGAATCCATCTTGTTCTTGTGATCATCGATGACATCCGCAACATGCAACTCCAATATCATCTTCTCCTCCTCAATTTCTTTTAGTTTTTCCTTCAAGAAATTGTTTTCTTCTTCAACTAAATTTAACCTCTCGACAATAGGGTCGGTTGGAATTTCCGGTTCACATACCTCCTAGATAAATATAATCTATGTCACGTTGGTCGGCATAATTGTCATAAACAATAAATGAACCAAATAGTTATAAATATAATATATACCACATCTGAATCATAGACAGGACGAGGGCCGACGGGGGCGGATACCAAAACCATCGCACTAAATAATAATAAGCAATAATAAAAGTAAGAAAAGTATACAAGTATCTATATAAACATACAAGTAAGAATTTGTTTTCTTTCAGAAAGAAGATAAGAACAAGAGGCTCACCACGGTGGTGCCGGCGACGAGATCGGCGTGGGCGATCGACGGCGGTGAAGAAGGGGACGGGACGTGACGGACCACTAAACCTAGACAAATATTGAGGAAAATGGAGCTTGGAGGTCAAGCTTGGAGAAGAGAAAGCTTAAGTAGTGTGGCTCGGGCATTCCATCGAACATCTGGTGTGCATAGGAGGTGAGCTAGAGCACCACAAAGCTCCCCCCTCGCCGGCCAGGAAAAATAGAGCACTAGGAGTGCTCTGCTTGCAGGCGAGGGGTATATATAGGCAACTCAATGGTCCCGGTTCGTGGCACGAACCGGGACTAAAGGTCACCATTTCGTACTGGTTCATGCCACGAACCGGGTCCAACGGAGGCGGGCCAGGAGTGACGACCATTGGTCACGGTTCGTGCCACCAATGCCCCCACGAGACCAATGCCCCCACGAGGACCGGAAGGCCCCTGCCCTCACGAACCGGGACCAATGGGCCCATGGGTACCGGTTCGTGACCGAACCGGGACTAATGAGCTAACCAGGCCCAAACGTATGCCTTATTTTCTACTAGTGAAACCTCTGACCGCAACATCATTGTTTGAAGCATTGTCTAGTGTGATGGATATAATTTTCTTCTCTATCTTCCATTTAGTCACACACTCATAGATGGCATCTGAAATCACATGCCCGGAGTGAGGAGGATCCAAATCTATGAAAGAAAGAACACATGTTTGCATCTTCCAATCCTTATCTATAAAGTGTGCAACCACACACATATATGGTATGGTCTCGTTGCTAGTCCACAAATCGGTTGTCAGACTAATGAAGTCCACATCCTTTAGGGAAACTTGAAGCAACTCCCTTTTTTTCTTGAAAACCCTCATGCATTCAGCTCTTATTGCCTTCCTTCCAATGGGTTGATAGTTTGGATTCAAGCACTTCATGAGAATGTTGAACCATTTATGTTCAACCATTCTAAATGAGTACTCATGGACGCAAATCATCTTTGCCATGACCTCCTTGATGAGGTCCTTATCATACTCAATGCATTGGACAGCTGGACCACTTGTTGTTGCATTGGCTTTTCTAAAAAAATAGAGTAGCTTGGATGAGTTCCCTATTAACCTTGTCCTTGTAATCCTTACATGTGTCCACATGTCTTCCCATGGATGAGGTGCTTCCACCTTGGACATTTGCATATTGATTGTCACAATAATTACATTGTGCCTTCAACTCCATCAAACCTTCTTTCGATGGCACCTTCACCTTATGAAAGAAGGTCCAAACCGCCGACCTCAACCTCGAAGGAGCTTGACCTTTTCGCTTCTTGGCACTCTTTCGTTGCACTTTTTTTGCTTCATCCTCAGTCAAACTAAGAAGTACGGTTTCTTGCTCTTGAGGCATATGACCAAGGCCTAGACCATCCTCGGACATGTCATCACTTTCGAAGGCTTCTTCTTCACTATCCACAAACCCATCTGAATCTGATTTGTTATCAGCCCCGAGCGGCACCTCAAACAAAGTATCTTGCTCTTCCTCTTCCTCCTCCTCATCCTCTTCCACCTCTTCATGATCCTCCTCCGCTTGCTTATCATGCTCCATTGCCTAGCACACAAAAACAACAAACACATGAGCTTGGACACACATATATTTGACTTTTGTATAGCAAAAACAACACACCCATGAGCTTGCACAAACATATATTTGACTTTTGGATAGCAAAACATGCACACACATGAGCTTGCACAAACATATATTTGACTTTTGTATAGCAAAAACAGCACACACATGAGCTTGCACAAACATATATTTGACTTTTGGATAGCAAAAGCAGCACACACATGAGCTTGCACAAACATATATTTGACATTTGGATACCAAAAAGAGCACACACATGAGCTTGCACAAGCATATATTTGACATTTGGGTACCAAAAACAGCACATATGAGCTTGGGCACACATAAATTTGACTTTCAAAAAGCAAAAACAGCACATACATGAGCTTGCACAGATATATATTTGGCACATACATACCTGGGAAGATGTAGCCTCCCTCTCATAGTAGTTTGCGGAGCCGGAGGCAGCGGCGATTGCGGCACGCACACCAGTGCCGGTGGGGTCAGAGAGACGTCGAGGCGGAGGTTTTTTTAGCCTATACAACAACTCAGCGATTGGGACATTGCTGCAATCATTTGCCAGCTTCCTCGGCAGCCGCGTAGTAGCAGCTGCATTGCCCTTCCCATTCCCCTTCTGCATCCCTGAGACCGGTACCTTGCTCTTCATAATGGAGTCCAAGGTCCTCTCTTTCTCCTTCTCCTTCCCATTCGCCTTCCCCTTTTCCTTGTCCATTGTTGCGACGATAGGCATCTGCACACATCAGCAAACAACAAACAATCAATCATCAACAACAGTACACTAATTACATATGGAGTCAATGTAATTTCCAAGCAAGTAGATTCTTTTTCAAGCTGCTATGCTACATAAAGTAGAACATCAACAGCAGAAAACTAATTACACATGGTATCAATGAAAATTTGGATCTATCCATCCATTCTACCCTACAACTCCATCCATCCATGATCCATCCATCCGGATCTGGTACATCTAGCCCTACAGGCTATAATACATTCATCCATGATCCATCCATCTAGCCCTACATCTACCTGACTACATCCATCGATCCATCCATGCATCCATCAATAAATCAGATGCGTCATGCATGCTAGTTTAGACACGTACGGCTAGGGTTTGGGAAGGAACAGCTACATGAGCACATCCATCGATCCATCCATCCATTGATCCATCACGCACGTACTAGTTCAGAGAGCTGCGGCTAGGGATAGGAAAGGAAGGAGGTACCTGCTCGTGCTCGTCACGTTCGCCGAGAAACCAGGGGAGGTGGCGCCGCCCGTCGCCGTCGAGCCCGTTGCTGTCGGAGTGGTGAGGAAACGGGGCGTCCCTCGTCGCTGTCGATCCAGCTTTGCGGCGCAGGGGGGGAGAAAGGGGCGACGCGACGGTGAGGCAGAGCAGAGAAAGGGGCGAGGCGGCGCTGTCTCTGCGTCTCTCGTGCCCTAATGCGTGCGAGGCTGCGTGCGATGGAGAGATTGAGGATGGATTGGGCTGGGCCACAAGCGAGTCACCGAGCTGGACCGGCCGAAACTTGGCTCAGCTCACTCGCGAATCGGGCCTATTTTCAGAACTGGGCCCGCTCATTTAACCTGTCGAGCCGAGCTGTAGCGAGTTTCGGGCCGAGCCGGAAAGCTCGCTCGTTCGTCCTGTCCTATCCAGGCACGCGATGACTGCCTACAGCATCCAAGACAAGGAGCTGTGGACGCGGCACGCCATAACCATGGTGTCCCAGGTCACGGTGGCCCTCTACGTCTTCCGCAGGTCGTGGTCCGGGGAGAAGAGGTTACTTCAGACGGCAATCTTGTTGTTCGTCATTGGGATCGTCAGATCCGTCCAGAAGCCATGGCGTCTAAAGAATGCCAGTATTAGTGGCATGGTCGCCTCTTGCTCTCCATCCACGCGAAGGGAACAAGGTTCTTTTGCATCATTCTGGGAATGCTGCACTTTCATTGTTGGCACTGAATTGTCCGACAGCAGAAGACAAGAAGAAGCAGCCGAAGAGAAGGACATTCCCCTTGAAAAATTTGTACGAGTCCCGCTTCGGTACAACCCCCCTTCACAAAACGTATAAGGATAGTATGGTCTTTTCAGAGAAACGTATACCCACCCCTGGGTCTTTTTTGGGGACGTACGCATACGCGTTTGCACATCCTGTCCGCCTGTCCGCCTCCCCTCCCTCATGGGCCGGCCCATTTTACAATTTTCTTTTGCTACACTTTTTTTTCGCTAAAAAAAGGATGTGTACGTGGGATTGGGATTCGAACCAGCAACCTCAAGGCTCAAAACCAATCATGATAACCAACTGGAAAGCCTACGTTTCGTTTGGTAATACATACTTGTTTACTCTTACTTCTTGTTCGCTAGTCGGTTTTTTTTTGGGGGGGTTTTAGTTTCTTTTTTCCTTTTTTCTGTTTTAGTCAAATTCGTGAATTTAAAAATCCGTCCATGTTTTTCATTTTTGTTTTTGTTTTCCAATCTGTCCGAACATTTTTGTTCCAAATTGCAAGAACTTTTTGAAAAACTCATGAGCTTTTTAAAATTGATGAACTTTTTTTTTCAAACTCGGTGAAAATTTTCAATTTTGTGTTTTTTTCTCAAATTGATGAACTTCTTTTTTAAAATCGATAAACTTTTTCAACTTCTATGAACTCATTTGCAGTATTGATGATTTTTTTTCCAAATATATGACCTTTTCTTCGTTTTTCAGTGATTTTTCTTATTTTTTTGCGAACTTATGTTATTTCCTGTTTTTTTTTTCAACCAAGCATGGATGCCTACCATGGGCACGCACCCTTGCTGACAAAAGCTGGGGCCATTTCTCACATGCCCAACAAAGAACCATGTTAAACAGAGGGTGTTCGGGTAGGACAGAAGGGTCTGTTTGTGAACACCTGGGTTTTCACATCTGTCAGATGGTGCCAATTTTTTTCCATCACCTTATATCACCAATTCATGCCATCATGCCAAGTTGTTTCTGTTTTGACAAGTTTAGTATTTTTTGGAGTTTTCTCGGTGAAAAAAAGGTCAATAAATGGTCGGATTAGTTGCAGCGTGCAGACGGTGCCCCAATTTATTCAAACTAGGCATGAATGCCTACGACGGGCACACACATCCTTGGTGGCAAAATTTGGGGTCACTCCTCACATGTCCGACCAAAAACCATATTAGACCGAGGGTGTTCGGGTAGGCCAGAAGGGCCAGTTTGTGAACACCTTGTTTTTTACATCTGTCAAATGACCACTTTTTCCATCACCTTGTATCACCAATTCATGCCACCATGCCAAGTTGTTTTCGTTTGTGCCAAGTTTTGTATTTTCTGAAGTTTTCTCGGCGAAAAAAGGCCGATAAATGGCCAAACGTGTCGCAACATGCAAACGATGTCCGATTCATTCAAACCAAGCATGAATGCCTACTATGGGCACACACCCTTGGCGGAAAAAATTTAGGGTTATTCCTCTCATGTACAACAAAAACCATGTTAGACAAAGGGTGTTCGCGTGGCCAGAAGGCTCTGTTTCTGAACGTCTGGTATTTTGAATCCGTCAAATGGCCTGAATTTTTTTCATCACCTTGGAGCACCAATTCATGCCATCATGTCAGATTGTTTTTGTTTTCAACAAGTTTTGTATCTTCTGAAGTTTTCTCGGTGAAAAAAGACCGATAAATGACCGGACGTGTTGCAACGTGCAAACAATGCCCGAATTCATTCAAATCAGACATGTATGCCTACCATGGGCATGCACCCTTTGTGGCAAAAGTTTGGGTCATTCTCACATGTACAAAAAACATGTTAAACACATAGTGTTCGGGTCTATTTGTGAACACCTCAATTTTCGACATCTGTCAAATGCACTATTTTTTCCCATCACCTTGTATCACTGCCACCATGCCAACAGGTACTTTTGTAGGGCAAGTTTTTTATATTTTTCAATTATTTCGGTGAAATAAGAGCGTGCTGACAGTATCGTAAGTAGTTCGAATCAGGCATGGAAGGATGCCTATTATGTCCATGTCAAGCTATTGCAAAAATCCGTTCGAATCAGGCATGGGTCATTTATTCATAGTGCAAAAAGAACACCAGTTAAACGGGTGCCGAACTAGCCCAGACGGCTGCATCCGTGAGCACGTAGTTTTCTTAAATTCAATGCTTCTGTTATTTCAAATGTGAAATTTCCATAATTACGAGCCAACTTCAACATATCTTTATTTTCTAACCATTATTTTTAATTTGTCAATAATTTTGGAATTTCAAATTATTTATGAAAAAATTAAAAACATTAACTATTTTATAGAAAATTCTACAAAAATCCCAACAGTTGTTGAAAATTGTGAACGGAAAAATAACTAAACTCGAGAACGGAAAAATTATTTATGACGGCGGCGCGCCTTCGGCTCGCTCCAGAGATTGTAGTCGTCGCTAGGTGGTCTACAGACCTGGATGTAATTTTTACTTCTAGTGTTCTTTGTACTACCTTGACAGTTGATGAATAGATCGGAAGTTTTCACGCAAAAAAAAAGTTGTGAACGGAAAAATAACTAAACTCGAGAAAGGAAAAAAACGAAATAACGAAAAAAAGGAAAGACAATATAATAAATAGATAAGGAAAAGTGCGACAGCCATGGCCCAACACGCCGTCGGGGCCTGTTGAGCGAGCCCAAGCATGCGACCTCGTTTTGTACAATAAGCAGAAAAATGGAATCTAAACACAAGCAGTAGGTTGTCCCGCTTGGTTGCTTTGCTACCTATTAGAATAGGAGGTTTCGGCTTCGAATCATGCTGCGTGCACAATTTTTTGATCTTAACCAATAAGAGAAAGGATTAAATGGGCTGGCCCGCACGCGTCGGCCGTGGCCCGTTAGGCGTACCTATTTCTACGTACAGCGCGGATAGGGAAGGAAGCTTATTTGAAATAGGACCATCATGCCCTTTATTATGAAAGGGTATGGATCAATCCCAGCCCTTCATGTGTTTAGGGGGGTTGTACCGAAGCGAAAGTGAATTTGTACAAGAAGCAACCAGGTGCGTACTGCAGGCAAAGTTAGCCAGTGATGAAAAGAAAGCGGAAAAACTTGCTTCAAGCTCTATGGAAATGTATGCCTACAGGCTACTTGTAGACATATCAACTCCATACTCTAGCCGGATTAAAATCCTACAACTTTTTATGGCCCTTGATTGCCAACATGCACATTTCGTCTCAGAATTCAGCATCAGTTTGTTATTTGGGGAGCTCTACACAAAAATAAAGATGATAATCAGCGGCCTTGGCTTATGTTTGCACCTCTTGCTCCCATTTCTGACCTTAGCTTCCATCATCCTCTTCTCCACTAGCCACAAATACCATGACTACAACGCAACAGATGTGAAGTTAACTTACATCCTATTCTGTTGTACCTTGCCGCTGGATTTCCTTTTGCTCTTGCTCGGTCCTGCCATCGCAGGCTTTGGATTCGTCAAGGTTTCCCAGTATAGCCTCTTGTCGTTCCATGCTCGTAAGAAGAGGCCCACTACTTTGATGAAGCTTGCCACAGTTGTCTGTTGCAAGGACCATGTTAACATGCATTGTTATATAAAACACGGACCATCTGATTCCTCAAGCACAATTGCGGAGTTGGTCCTTGGATATGTGAATGATGGTTGGAAAGGATATATCCACGACGCTGCCAGCTACAAGATCTTCAACAACCACAGGGGCGAGTGGACACTGAAGAAGCATCGTCTTGGCCACGCCAAACGGCTGGGGTGGAGCTTGAAGATGGCGTTCGATAGAAGCGTCCTTCTCTGGCACATCGCCACGGACCTCTGCTTTCACCACCAAAGCACAACCCCTCGCGGCCAAGAGTGCGCCGTTCAAAGCAGAGTGATATCCAACTACATGGCGTACCTGCTCTCCGTCCGTCCCGAGATGCTGATGCTTGGGACCAGGAAGGGTATCTTCATGGTTGCTTGTGATGATGTCGAGCTCATGCTGGGCAGCGAGTTAGCAACAGATGTAAGAGGTCTTGCGCAGGTAATTCTTCTCAAGGCGCAACAGCTTCCCTCATCACATGCCAGCAACATAGGAGCTTTGGTCCCCAATGCATGCAGGCTTGCTAAAGCCTTGATGGATCTGCAGGATGAACATGTGAGGTGGGAGGTGATTCAGGGGGTATGGGTGGAGATGCTATGCTACTCTGCCAGTAGGTGCAGGGGGTACTTGCATGCCAAGAACATGAATGAAGGTCCGGAGCTGCTCTCTCAAGTCTGGATCCTCTTGTCATTCATGGGGATGGAGACATCTGCCGACAGGTATCAAAAGTCGGAGCCTCCCGAAACCAAGGAAGAAGAAGAGGTAGAAGCTGGAGACGTTGGTGGTGAAGGAAGACCCATCCAGCACGAGATTACCATACGTGTCTAAGTTATATCCCGAATCTTTACTTTGTTTGTTGATGATGTATCGCTTTTATGTTTTCATTTATATCGCCAGTTGACCACTCTGTCTCTGTTGGTGTATATCGGTAATACAAATATTTTCCAAGAGATATCTTTGTGTGTTTGTTAATTCATTTATCACGTTTCAGTATAGCAGTGCTTCTGTGGTTGATTCCATATGATTTCTGCTACTCTGGTGTTCATACTTGTAAATTTCGTATGTTATTAGTACTCAGTGCAAACTGATTTGATGTTATTAGTACTCGTCTGCTTTTCCCTACTACTAACTGATACTACAAATGTACGGTGTGGTGGGTATTTCTGCGTCTTGACGGATTTCTGGTTTTGTTACTGCAAGTTGCTGTCTTGCTGCTGCTGTGAGCATTTTGTGTTTCCTTTTCTAGTTTTGTCGTTTCTTGTTTCAGCAGCGACAGTTAATAAAGGTAAACGTTTAGGAACGGCGAGCCGGCCGAACCATTGCGCCGGTTCGCTCGCTCGCACAACGTCAGCCACATGCGTAACTGGGGCCACTCCAACCGGCCAGCCCCATTTTTCTCCCGATTCCCCTTTCCATCTTATCCTTTCACGCGTATTCGACTCTATCTGCCTAGCCCCCTTTCTCCTTGGCTCCATCCCACCTACCTCTTGTGCTCAGCAGCCATGGATGAGCTCTACCTCTTCCATCACCTCTAAAGCGCTCCCACCCCCGCTCGCGCCAACTTGCTTGTAATTAGGGGCGTAGCGCCGCTGCTGCCGCCTAGAGACCTTTGGCGGCACGATGGGGTAGCTGGAGGTCGGCCTCAGTGCAGCCACAAAACATACAACCGACGGTGAGAAAGCTACAACCGGCTTTTGAAAAAGCTTCAACTGAAGAATGGCGAGCGGCGACGACGAAAGCTGCGTTACCGTTTTGCTACTGCACGGAAATGCTACGACCGGCTACCGCGGAGCTACAACAGGCACCTGGTAGAGCTGCCACCGGTGGTGCCAATTGCTACAACCAGCGCCGTTTTTGCCGGAACCAAAGAATGCATGTGTTGCAACCGTTGAGCAGCAGAGCTACAACCAGGAACGCAAAATGCTACGACCGGTTCTATTTTTTGCTGGAACCAGAGAAATTAGAGGCTTCAAGTGGCGTGCGAAGGAGCTGCAACCATCACTTTAAACTGCTACGACCGGCGACCGAGAAAGCTACATCCGATTTATGAAAAAGCTTCAACCGGAGATGGGGTAGCTGGAGGTCGGCCTCTGTGCAGCCGCAAAAAGCTACAACCGACGGTGAGAAAGCTACAACCGGCTTTTGAAAAAGCTTCAACAGAAGAACGGCGAGCGGCAACGACGAAAGCTGCGTGGTGGTGCACGGGGTGCTGTGAGGCGCGATGACGGCGGCCGGTGGCGATGTTAGACCCTCAGCCCGGTTGGTTCTATGGAGGCACGTCGAGCTGCAAAGCCTATGGCGCTGTGGATGGAATTGTTTTTGGCATGGCCAACGAGCGGTGGTATGATATGCTCCTCCACGACTGGGGCGGGCGCCGTAGATGCTGCGAGCGTCGTGGGCATCTGCAGCTAGCAGGAGGGACCGTGGAGGCGGAGCCGTCGTGAGGAAGAAGACGCGTGTGAAGTTTTTTTTTCTCTTTTTATTTCTCAGCAGGGAACCAGCTCTCGATCTGACGGCCCTCACTATCTGCATCGGACGGCTGTGGCTGGACCGGCCCAATAATTGGGCCGGCGCGCCGGCGCAGATCGCTGCCCATTAATAAATGCAGAAGAGTCCAACTGTAAATGATTGAGGCTATCTTAATTTTCGGGATTCAGATGCTTCGGGATTGGTTTCTCAAGCTTATTTTGGTTATATTTCGGTCTATTAAGCGACTTTGTGAGCAAAATCAGGCCACAAATGTATCACACAGAAACTTATAAAAAGGCACCGATGTCTTGGTTTGACACCCTTCAATTAGTGTGAATGTTATATCCGAATCCACCTTTGACCATTATGTGTTTCCTTTGCTAATCATGTAGTGTCTTGCTTCTGGCCCTCCTAAATCTATATTCTAGCTGCAGGTGGCTATTGGATGGCCAAGGGTGTGTCGCCGAGTCAAGTATCCTCCCAGAAACGTGTACTCGTGCCGTTTTCAACAACAAACTTTGTCCTATTAAACAATGTCTGCTTGACCTTCATGAGACCCTTCCAGAAGGGCGAGTCGGTCGGCCTTACAGAGACCTGTGACAAAGTTTTTGACTGAAGGTACTTGCCGCGAAGGATCTGAGCCCACATAGCATCATTCTCCGACGAAAGCTTCCACAGCCACTTGCTAAGAAGGCATTTATTCTTAATTTCGAGATTCTCAATACCTAGACCCCCTTGGTCTTTCGGTCTACAGATGATATCCCACTTAGCAAGCCTATATTTTCTTTTAAGCTCATCACCCTGCCAAAAGAACCGCGATCTATAGAAGTCCAGTCTCTTCCTAACACCAACTGGTACCTAAAAGAACGAAAGAAGAAACATCGACATACTCGTGAGTACCGAATTAATTAGGATTAATCGGCCTCCATATGACATGAGCTTGCCCTTCCAGCAGCTCATTTTCTTCTCAAATCGGTCCTCGATGCACTTCCATTCTCTGTTTGTTAGCATACGATGGTGGATAGGAATCCCCAAGTATGAGAATGGTAGCTCTCCCAACTCACATCCAAACAATTGCCTATAAGCATCATGTTCATCTTTGGCCCTACCAAAACAGAACAGCTCGCTCTTATGAAAGTTTATCTTTAACCCGGTCAATTGTTCAAATAGGCATAACACCAGCTTCATATTTCTTGCCTTAGCCAAGTCATGCTCCATAAAGATGATTGTATCATCAGCGTATTGTAGGATAGAGACACCTCCATCAACAAGATGAGGCACCAATCCACCTACTTGACCATTTTCCTTAGCCCTTCCTATCAAAACTACCAACATATCCACCACAATGTTGAACAAGATAGGGGACATCGGGTCTCCTTGTCGTAGGCCTTTATGTGTCTGGAAGTAGTGACCTATGTCATCATTAACTCTAATTCCCACACTACCTTTTTGCGTAAATGATTGAACCTGTCTGCGCCAGGCTTCATCAAAACCTTTCATACGCAGAGATTGTTGGAGAAATGGCCACTTGACCTTATCATACGCTTTCTCGAAATCCACTTTAAAAATCACTACATCTAATTTTTTGGAGTGGATTTCATGGAGCGTTTCATGCAGGACTACCACCCCTTCAAGGATATTTCTGTCTGGCATGAAAGCGGTTTGGGACTGTTACACCACAGAATGCGCAATCTGTGTGAGCATGTTGGTCCCGACCTTGGTGAAAATTTTGAAACTAACATTAAGGAGACAGATCAGCCTGAATTGCTCAATTCTGACCGCATCCGTCTTCTTAGGAAGTAGTGTGATAGTCCCAAAATTCAAGTGGAATAATTGAAGCTGTCCAGAGAATAGATCATGAAACATAGGTAGTAAATCCCCCTTAATAATATGCCAGCACTTCTTATAGAACTCGGCCGGGAAACCATCCGGTCCGGGAGCCTTATTATTTTTCATCTGTGCAATAGCATCAAAAACCTCCTTCTCCTAGAACGGGGCAACCAGAAGCTCATTATCAGCAGCCGATAGCTGAGGTACATCCTCAGTTCTGGACTCATCGAGGGACACCTTATTATCCTCCGGTGGTCCAAATAACTGCTTATAATAGTCGGTAATGTATGTTTTTAGGTTATCCTGACCTAAAATAGTACCCTCGTCCTGCTCAAGATGAAAGATTCGCTTCTTTATGTGTTTGCCATTAGCTATTAAATGGAAGAACTGAGTATTCGCGTCCCCTGGACCACTCTGCGTACTTTAGCACGTAAAGCCCACTTCAGTTCTTCTTCGCGGAGAAGTTCTTTTAACCTCTTCTCCGCCTCATTTTTAACCTGAAGCTCTGCAGGTAACAAAATATTGGATTCGGCTTTTATGTCCAGGTCGTGTATAAGAGAAAGGAGTCTATCCTTTTCAATCTTATACACACCGCTAAGGTGCTTAGCCCAACCCCGTAAGAAGCTTCTCAAGTTCCTAATCTTATTCTGCCACGGCTCAATATGAGTTTTGCCTCGAACATCTTTAACCCATTCCCTGGCTATCAAATCTAAGAACCCCTCACGTTCAAACCATGATGTCTCAAAGGAGAAGGTGTTCTTGTTACCCACGTGGTTCGGCTCCCCTGAGTCCACGAACAGTGGGGTATGATCAGATATTCCCCTCGAAAGAGCTTGCACCGTAACCAGCGGGAATTTTTGTACCCACTCCACGCTTGCAAGAATTCGATCAAGTTTTTCGTAGGTTGGGTTTGGTAGAGCGTTAGCCCATGGAAACTTTCGACCCGAGAGCTCTATCTCTCTCAGATCCAAACTTTCAATAATGGTGTTGAACATGAAGGACCATCTGCCGTCAAAGTTATCATTGTTCTTCTCCTCTCTCTCCTCCTGATAATATTGAAATCACCTCCAACTAAAATCGGCAGTTGCTCTGACCCACAAATTCGAACAAGGTCTGCTAGAAACTCCGCTTTAAGCTCGGGCAGCGCGGCACCATAAACCGCCACCAAAGCCCAGTTAAAGCCATCCGTCCTAGACCTAACTCGAAACTTTACCGCGAAGTCACCCATCACTACACTACGGACTTATGAGGACCTTTGGAATCATGTTGGCACTACTTTATTTTGTTAATAAGAGGGTCGTATGCATCGTACTGATGCAGAGGCCGGGGTTTTCCCCCTTTTCGAAAAAAAGAGCTGCAGGTGGCAACAGTTTGCAGAAAAAATGTTGTCACCAGCAATTTCCGTGGACTAGCTTAACTGGTTTAGGCTTAAATTCAAATTCTGGAGAAAAGATACGTAAAAAGATGAAAATTGTCATATTCTGCTGATACATACCGTTGTTGCTGCATCATGGTTGCACTGTCAAAGT